TGCTGCTACGACTACTACCACCACCAGTTGAACTGCAATCTGAATGAAGGCCCGCAGGGCCACAAGACGGCAGTGGGCTGCATGTTGCAAGATGTGAGCTTGAGACATAACTGACATAGTTTCATTTTTGTCAAGAATGACAAAAATGCCAGCAAGATAATCACAAAGCGTGATGTGCACCAGTGCGTCAGCATCGTTACGGGTTTGGAACCGGACCATAGCTTTGTGAACATATCCACTTCCGGCATTGATGTCGGTGGTGAGTCTCGACGGGGTGCGTATGAGTGAACCCGGCCCACTTGGAACAGTGGCTGACGGTCGCTGTGGATGACCACTCTCTTTTTCCTTGTGCTCAGGTTGGCACATCTAGCAGCGAATCCTTGCGACCGACGTTGGCACAGTCTGCTGCTCCTTAGCCTGCCAGAACCGCACAGTGGGGCACCCTTGTAGGATCACCTTCTGAAGATGACTTGGCATGTCTGTTCCGCAGTGGTACAATGCAACTTTTGGTGGCAGTTGTGGGATCGTAGAATAGAAGCCAGAAAGTTGGAACATCNNAACATCGTTCTCCTCATGCCCTTAAGATTAAAGTATCAGGGATCCCAGCAGTAATCCTCCTAAACCCACGTTCGCTGTAATCTCGGTCCCATGAAAGCCCACTCAGGACACAGATGGAAAATGCACACTTGGTGATCATCATTGTGGTCTCCAGTCTGTCCTACTTCGCCATCCAAGGACTTGTAGGCCCCGGTCGGTGGTCTGTACAATATTGACACTTCCAAATTTTCCGGAAGGCTTCGCGACCGTTGTGATTTGCTGCGCTGCGCTGCACGTGGGACACCCAGTCGTCTCTGCTCCGGGTCCTCTGGTTACTTGTCATCTTGTCATCGATTTCTCCAAAAAGGCGGAGGGGTGCAGTTTTGCCGCTGTCTTGCCGGCTTCCTCTTCATGTAGAGTTGTGAACATACATCGACATGACACGACAAAGTTGAGAAACAAGAGCGAGGCTGTGACACACTGAAGTGCTACTTCAGCTATGGACTCCATGAACTACATTGGCTATACATTGTGCTTCATGGAAAGTTGTTGGCTATTGTGGTTCACGCGAAGTGGCAGTGTTGCAGGGCCAGGTGTCGCTAATTTCGAGATTCTTCAGGGTAATGGGCACCGCTTGGAGTTCTGAAACGTTTTGGACCCGTGCACGTGCCGCACTGAGGCGACTTTCATGGTCGTGGCTATGTTTTGCCTGGCAGATGCAGCCAGCATGATCTTGGCAGGAACATTGGATCATGACAAGGTGCTCCGCCGTTCATCATGCCGAGATTCGCGGGTCCCCGTACTTTATTGTCGTGTCTTGCGGTCTTGCGGGTCTGACTGCACACCGAGGTCACGACATTTTCATAGGCCACCGGTGTGTCCTTGCTCAGCACGTCTTGGGATGTGTTGCAAGGTGCTGCTGCGCACCGATGATAGTATCTGGGCTGAGACGATTGCTTGGCGTGCGGAACACGAGGGGGTCGACACGAAGCGGACACTGTTTTTGGCAGTTTGCATCCAACGGGTTTCGAGGGTCGAGGGTCCCCGGCATGACATGCCCAACAAGGGCTATAAGTTCTGCTGCTATACTCCTCCTCCTC